ACTATTCTCTGAGTTGGAATACAGGTTTGTACTTTTTTAAACTACACCTTACTGAACATTTTAAATAATCAATATGCTTAATGAAGTATAATATGCATAACAAAGAAAGTATATTATACAAAAAAGGTTAGGTCTTCTGTTTCTGGTTTATTATGATATTAAATATCCAGTTACTGTAACATAACATATACATCCCTACATACTTCCCTAAACTACGATAATAGCTTTAATGCTTTAAGAATTTAGAATTTAGTTTCTACATGCCCAGAAATTGTTATTAAGTTTATAATTTTTTTAATTTTTTTTATGTCAAATATAATTGAATGGAATTTTTTTAATGATTTTTTTTTATGTCAAATATAATTGAATGGTATTACTGTTCCATTCACACAAGGACTGTCACCATCTGGTGCCACTGCCAAAAAAAAGATCACTCTGCAGTGTTTCATTTATTTTGTAGATGTATCACTTTTGCCAGGACGTGCGTAGCAGCAGGATAATGCTGAGGCATGCAGGCAAGACCGCAGCTGCACCGTCCAACATGAGAGTCAGTGTACTGTGAAAAAAGGATTCAGTCGATAGGGCTAAAAACTTTCATACTTAATAGTTAGTGTGCCTCATATTAATCTTTGTATTAATGACAACATTTATGCTTCAATAAAATAGATTCCAGATAGATGAAAAGGTTTTGAGCATTACTCCTTATAGTAAAATATCAAACTGTACTGGAACTAACTGATTCCATATAAGTTTCAATTAAATTAAAATTAAATTATTTGCAAAAAGAAAATGAACCTATCTACTTTTTTTCTGATATAATGTGAAAAAGAAATAAACCCATAGATTTTGAGTTCTCATAAAAGCAACTTTTGACTCACAGGCCAAAATTGTCCTAAAATTGAACAGGTCAGGAGCAGACAGATGGAGCGTTGGTGTGAACTAAGATAAATGACATGTAAAAGACATGCGTAAAGGCTAAAATGCTTTTATCATTTTCTATGTCATCTATGGGGGAAACGTGGGTATTGCAGGGAGAAGGCACAAGTGTAATGATAATATAAATAAATTATATAATTTAGAAAAGTTTGGCGGGCCGGATTAAAAAGCTGAACGGGCCACATCCTGCCCCCCGGGCCTTAGTTTATCCATGTCTGTGCTAGGAGAAAAGACTTAGCCAATAACTGAAGTCACATTATGCTTCATTAACTATTTATCTGTTGAGGGCCTCACAATAATACTTTTTATTTAAAGGTGCCAGGTGTCACAGCATACTGTTGTCTTTCACACTTAGCTCACATTTCCCACTGTTTCATTTTTATGTTCAGTACAAACATACTGTACACAACACCTGCCTTTGGAACTTAGGTTTAAAAATATAATCTGTCTGATGCAGCATTTGTTAAGCTGTGACGATGCTGCTCCCGTGTTGTTAGATCATTGTTCAGTACAAACGTACTGTACACAACACCTGCCTTTGGAGCTTAGGTTTAAAAATATAATGTGTCTGATGCAGCATTTGTTAAGCTGTGACGATGCTGCTCCTGTGTTGTTAGATCATTTGTCTCTGATTTATAAGTGTAATTTATAGTATCATTTCCAGTTGCAAATTATAAAACCAAGCAGAGCACCAGCAAACCAGGGAAGTGGTGGGGTCTTTTTTCTTTTGTCCCAAAGATGACGAGATGCCAAATGTCATATAAATCAAAAAATATGGAAAGACCAAGAGAAAACATTCAAATTCTGTACAGAAAAACCTTCAAGGATTGAAATGTTTGTTATTTGTTTTTGCTTTAACAAGTGAAATAACAACCGTAGCACAAATTTTTCCACAGTCATTGTGAACAGAAATTTCTGGTGACATACTAAACAAAGAATGTAATCTATGGACATTCTACCCAATCTTTCACTCCTTTACTTTATATAGATAAAATGATATATTTAAAAATCTCTTTTTTTCTCATCTCATCTTTTTGTTTGTGACAAATATATTGTGAGTGCGTACGGGGAAAAAAAGAACAGTACCTTTTGTAAGAGTTCCTGAGAGTAATCTCTGCAATGACTGGATGAATTTGAGCACCCTCAGTCTGAAGCGGCTGGTACAGCTGGCCATCCTGAGGTCGAGGCAGGTCGAGGCAGTGAAGATGTGCAAATCTGAGAGGTCCTCTGCAGCGTGCACTCATGGACAAAGTAAAGTTCAGCGATCGGAAAATAACAAAACAGCTATCTGTAGAACAGGACAGGAGCAATTACTTTACATAGAAGTGCTAGTGCAAAGTGCAGTTGTTAGTGTCAAACATAAAGACAATTTTTGAGAGTGTTGATTTACTAAATTTCCTCCTACCTTCTGTCGTCTTCTGCCTCGTTGTGACAAAGGCTTTTTCAGAAAGCACAAAACTACAGCAATATTTGTTTTCCTGTGACAAGTTTTTCTCTTATCTGTGCTGGGTTACATGTGCCTCTGAGAGTGGTGGAGTTCTGCTCTGTCTGTCGTGCTCCTGCTGCACTCTACCACTCTACCCTCTCTCTGTCATTGGTGCCCTCCTCCTGTCTGCACTTGGGCTCCTCGTTCTGTAGTTTTACACGTTTTCTTCTCTGGAGATTCCATACTTGGGTCTTCAAAATTTTTTAAAAAGTTTTTTAATCTCCATATTTTTATTGTGACAACCTTCAGGGCAGATGATTGAAAACCGAAACTTAAAATAAAAAGCTTAACATTAAAATTGAGCTTGGCATTTTGTGAAAAAGAAAAAGAAAAAAAAAAGCCTGGGATGGGTTGTGTAAAAGATGCGAGTGTCTATTGCAGTACGTGTACTTGTCAGTATTGCAGGAGTTTGTTTTCTAATACTTATTAGCAAAGTGGTAACCCAGGCAGTCTCTTCCGGTTACATTTATTCAAATTTATTTGTGTTTAATACCCTAAATTCAGAAAATGTAGTTTGCCCCCTCTAGTGGACAGATATTTTTTCAATATAATATAATATAATATAATATAATATAATATAATATAATATAATATAATATAATATAATATAATATAATATAATATAATATAATATAATATATCTGATAAAAAAGAAAACAAAGAAAGAAAGGTTCTCCACTCCCTTCCTTGTGTGTCCACACCTTAGTCATGTACCTGCCACAGTGATCACCTAATCACCCCCACCTGTGCCTCGTTAACTCCTCACTCAGCTTCCTACGTTCCCAGCTAGTAAATGTTACTCAGTTGAACCAGCTATTGGTCCCGTTTCTTCCCTCGTGTTAACCTAGCGCTTTTGTAGCTTAGCCAAGTATCTATTGCTCACCCGTGTTTCTACTTTTTTCCACCTGTTTTAATGACGACCGGTCCTTTGTACCTTTGACTGTCTTCATGCTCTATTAAAGACTGCAGTATCACCTGGCTGTGTCCTGTATTTAAGTCCCTCTGACCCCACACGTATGCACAAGTACACTCATAAAAAGTAAACTGGACAATAGCAGACTGTTGAGTTTCAGTCACAGCCTTTGGTAAGCAATCGTAAAACACCTACACAAATTTGACATGCTGTTTACTGCCAAATATAAAGCCAAATTCACGTGTCTCAGAGAGGACTTGTTGAAAAAGGAGTTTTCAGTAGTAGTAGAGTCCCGTGTTCGATTCCCAAAGGAACCACATATTCCTAATGGTGCCTCCCAAAATTATCATTATTAATTATTATTATATATGCAGAAAACACATTGAGTCACATTAGTTCATCAGTTCCAACATTTTGCATTGGAACCAAATGACAAACTGACAAAAAAATAAATAAATAACAGCAGTAATGAAGAAGTAAGCACAGAATTCCTCTTTAATGATCAAATTCATACAAATTTAACATTTTTAAATTCAAAATTAAAGCTGTGTGACAGTTATGTACCTGTAGCAGCGGACTGAACCAGCCAGACTGTGGCAGGCCTGGTCATGTAGAGGTAATTGCATGGTGTGGACATTAGTTATCCATATTTTATGTGCATGCTGTGTGGCTTTTTTTTTTTTTTTTTTTACCCTGCTGCGTCATAAATAAAGCTCTGCAGGTCTTTTTCTTTGGTTTGTTAGTTTGATTTTTTAGTTTTGTGTGTGAAAACCAACCATATGTTAGACCAGGGATGTCCAACATATGGCCCGCGGGCCAAAACAGGCCCGCTTGGCGGGGTTCAATTGGGCCCCCTTGATACATTTTGAAAGTGAAAAAATACATCTTATGTTTGTGATGTTTTGTCAAATTATATTTAATTAAATATGGATACGTTCTGAACATGGACCTATTGTTATTTATAGGTAGTTATGTTATGATTGTACTGGTCCGGCCCACTTGACTTCTAATCGAGCTGTATGAACCAAAATGAGTTTGACACCCCTGTGTTAGACTCTCTCTTTCCAGTATCATGTTGGACACTTCAAAATATGGTAGATACAGGTAGCATGTGTAATACTTCCTCACGCAAATACAACCAATAAATTAACCAATAAAAAAAATTATAGCTTTAATATTCCAAGAGAGTTGACCAATAGTGACTGGTTCTCAACAAAAACGAGTTCTGACACTGCCTAGGTATGAATAGTGACATCCAGTGTCCATCACTGTGCATGTGGATAGACATCAAATAATTATAAATGCATCATAAATAAATAACTGTTTTTGCGGTTTCTAGGTTTCATCAGTTTGTGACACAACGATCCCATCGACACACACGCGGTAAAGGTGACGTGATGCTGTACGCAATTGTCGTATTATTTTACGTGTTTGTAACATCAGTTCAGGAACGGCAGTACGTGTTGAAATACACGCTAAAATGTTCTAGTTCAGTGGTTCTCAAACTGTGCTACTGTGGAGCGCCCTCTGGTGGTACGTGGGGAAAATTCATATTTTTACATTCACATTTTGAATTGAATAAATCTGAAACATACCATGTACAATTAATACAACATTTAAACATAAACATCCTTATAAACATTTTTTATAAACATGTCTCCTGTGTGGTGGAAGCTAACAGGGAAGGCCTATGCTGCTATATTCTAATGTTGGTCATCATGGTGGTACTCAGAGAGCTCCATGTTTTCTCAGGTGGTACAGAGTAGAAAACGTTTGAGAACCACTGTTCTAGTTAACTGTGGTCTAGCTGTAGATACTCTTTCAGAGTATCCGAGAAGTAGTGTTGGTCTTCATGACTCATACGTACACATCATTTACATATCAACTGCCCTTGCTGTACAATTATTCACTTAGTGTGTTCCTTGACAGAACTGGAAAACAAACAATTTGTGAATCGTTAGCCGTCACACAATGAAAATCACCCATTCATTTATCAGTCATCCATTCCTGTCAGAGGTCGGCCTGAAACGAGCTTATCTCTTTTTTGTGGCGATTGCTTAAAAAAAAAAAAATGTCAGAGATATGTCATTTTTCTCAGGCTTACGTTTTATGTACAAAACAAGTACCATTTAGTATTTAACCTTATCTTTCTTAACTCATACTTTAACTCATCCTCAATGTTTTGGCGTGGGTTTAACATTAATCCTGTTGGCTGCGGAAACATGAAGGAACGAACTAAGTGATCCAGAAAAGAAAGGTTTGATGGTTTGTTATTAAAAGGCAGGAACATCAACAGTCCAGCTAAACAACGTGATTTTCACACGGGTTCATCTGAGTCGTCGTCATGAAGTTTAACTTTACTTTATCTGTGTGTTTCTCCGACTGCTGTGATACCACTTGTCCGGTCAAGAGGGGCGCTCTTTTGCGCAAGGACACACACGTAAACGATAGTTTCTTGTGATGGTTGAGTTTGTAGCGAAGGAGATCTCCGTAGGCTCTGCGGAAGTCTCTGTTTAAAGCCGGATACAGGATGGGATTGAGGGCTGAATTAAAGTAGCCCAGCCACAGCACCACTGAGTGGACTGGGTTAGGGGGGTTGGTCTTCTCCTTGATGCCTTTGCAGGTGAAGAAAGTGAAATAGGGGAACCAGCAGATGATGAACGCCCCCAGTACGGCCGCCAGAGTCACCGTGGCTTTGTGCTCACGTGTGATGGCAGCGGTTGATGAGATGCCGGGGTACGAAGGTGTGGTCGCACGAATTCGCCTCACCTGAGGATAGTGACAAGATATGAAAATCATTCTGTTTATCTAATAAATAAACCAAAAAAACCTCCTCACAAAAAAACTAAATAAAAAATCTGATCTGTATATCCCGTGCTGTAGCCCCAAAGCTAGGTTTGAAAAGTTTTTTCTGGGGACACATGGATGGATGTCCCACTATTTTAACACTTTAGTGCAGGCATGGACAAACTAAGGCCCGTGGGCCAGATGCGGCCCGTTTAGCTTTTTAAACCGGTCCGCCAAATATTTCCAAATTATATAATTAATTTAAATTATCATTGTACTTCTGCCTTTTTCCTGCAATACCCATGTTTCACCAATAGATGGCGCAGAGAATGATAAAAGCATTTAGCATTTTAGCATTTATGCATGACTTTTACATGTCATTTATCTTAGTTCACTCTAAGTTCGCTCCCTCCATCAAATTTTGGGACCAACTGTGGCCCGCGAGTCAAAATGTTTGCTCACACCTGATTTAGAAGCTTGAATTTATGGTATAAGCGTCAAATGAATCATATATTATTCCACCTGTATTTTGAATTGTTGATCAAAAACACCTAGCTGCAGATTGGATGTATGACTCATCCTTTTTCGCATGAAGTAAATGAAAGTAAGTAACTTTTACTCAAAGTAAATTTTAAATTGAGTATTTTTTAATATTTACTCGAGAAGATTTTTAGATGGGTACTTTTACTTCTACTTGAGTAGAAATACTTTAACTTACCGTAATTACATTTTCTAAGTACTAAGTGCAACACAGTCACTGGTCTAAAAAAACAATACAGTTTGAGCTGCATGCCTTATTTGTTGTGAGTTTTACTACAGTAACAAACACTGACCTGTTCTTTTGCCACCCTGAATATACACAGGTACATCCCAGACATGAGCAGGAGAGGCAGGTAAAATGTCACAAAGACATAAAACAGAACGTAGTTGTTGTTCCATTCAAACTGACAGTAGCGCCCATCCGTGTCCTCGTCCCATATGCCCCACTCCGAATGCTGGACCTTGTAGTCGACAGTGTTCCAGCCCAGATGGATGGGCACAAAAGACACAGCAAGGGACAGAGACCAAATGGAAACAAGGGCGACAGTCACCCTTACAGGGGTCACCCTCCTGGAGTAGCTAAGTGGCGCCGAAATAGCCAGATATCGATCCACACTGATTGCCATCAGGGTCAGGATAGAGGATGCACACAGCAGGACATCGAGTGAAATGTAAATATTACACAGGGTTCCTCCGAACGGCCATTTGCCACCGCGCAGCTCAACAGACGCAGTCAGGGGCAGCACCAGCAGGCCCAGCAGGAGGTCCGTCACTGCCAGTGATACCACGAAGCAATTAGCAACACGCCACAGGCGACGGCTGAACCCTACAGCCAGGCACACCAGCGCGTTGCCACCAATGGTCAAAAAAATAAACGACAACAGAGCAATCCAGCGGAGAGTCGTGGAGATCATGGCGGACTCCTTCCTGGGAAATCAATGTCAAGAGAACAGTGTTGCTGGTTAATTCCCAGGAGAAGCGTTAGGCAGTGGACCCTCGATTCATTTCCAGAATTTTCAGGTGGAGGCTGAGTGGGAATCACTTCTGAGACATTTTGTGATCCATCCCTGTATGACGGTCCACGGAGTCTGAGATGTTTGTGTTCCCTGGAGGGAAAAGAAGGAAAACTGTCAATGAGTAATTCACATTTAACCACATCAAAAATGTTATATACCTATGTAAATGTTTGACCAAAGCAGGTTATTAATTGTCGGATCACAATAATACAAGAATCCACCGCAGGAACAAAGGCTGCTTTAGTCACAGACTGCATGCAAGATGGTAAGAAATGTGTCAATAAACGTGTGATTGAATTGATTGATGAAATGTTTTGGAAAGAGATATTAAATTTTTTTTTATTATAAATCAGTGCCCGTCAAAAACAATATAAAAAAAAGTTTAAAAAGTTGACTTGGTCTTTATTAAGAGATCCTTTGGTTTAGAGATGCAGTGGCGGCCTGGCGGTTAAGGAAGCGGACTTGTTTTTGAAAGGTCATGGGTTTGAATCCACCAGTCATCGGACATCCCCCAATGGCTTAGCGCAGTGGCGGCCTGGCGGTTAAGGAAGTGGACTTGTATTTGAAAGGTCATGGGTTTGAATCCACCAGTCATCGGACATCCCTAGTGGGGACAATGCCCAATGTTAGCATATTTTGTAATATCTGTAAGAATCGTTATCGTTTTTTTTCCTCCGATAATGAAAAACCCGATAAAGCAATACCTGGGTTTCACCGAATGACTCGTGCTCTAAAAAATAGTTTAATTTAATTTTAAATTGCAGGAGTTACTTGTCCACAATTCAATTGTAATGCTGCCACTGTGTACTACTTTTGCAGTGCAGTTTTTGACCATATTTAGCAACATACAGCCTTGTGTTTCCGGTGTCATAAACTCCCATATGCTCTATAGCGGTCAGAGATGTTTGTTTAATAACAGGTGCTTTTAATTTCCTTATAACACGGAGCTTATCTCATACGCTATTAAAGAAACAGATGGTGAATTCTTTAATTAAAGGTCTGTAGCAGAAGTGTTGACAGTACTCTATAGAACTGCATACTGAGTGTCATGAGTGTTAATAAAAGAGAACCAGCAGGATTTTTAAAAACTTTTTTTTTTTTGAAATTCTATTGTTGCTCATTAATACAAATTATTAGTGAATCATTTTTCACCCTTTTTTCCGATATAATGTTTTGTTAAAAATATGATTAAATAAATGTTAATAATAATAATAATAATAATAATAATAATAATAATAATAATAATAATAATAGTAAATAATAAAAGTAAATTCCCTATAGCTTCCCTATGAATACTTAATCGTCTAGAACAGGTATTCCCCAAGCTGTGATGCGCGAGCTGCCCATAGAGGGTGCGCAAGATGAGAAATGTGTTTGCGGTTTGAAGTAGGATTTTATTCCACACAATGAAAATATTTCCATTGTATAATTTCAAATAAAATGTAGACATTTTAATTGACAAATAAATACAGGCTATATAGGATATATATATATATAAAAAAACTTTGGGAAACGTTGGTCAAGAATAATACCCACATATTTGCTGTAATACCCCGTCCACAGCAACCATGTATTAAAGCTGATTGACTCGGCTGATCTAATCTAATGCTCTTAAAAGTATACACATGTTCTCGTGTCCCTAAACGGAACACCAGCACTCTGTAAATAAATCCTCTACTGTGTATCCCAAATTACGCAACTTTGTGTTTCCTGAACAGTAGGCACCATTTCAGGCATACACCCTTGGCCACAGTTCCTCCTCAGGGATGAACGCTTCTTGTTTCCATGGCAACATTGTTTGTTCAGAGTTTAGCTGGAGCTGTTTCCTCTGCCTGGCCTGGTGTTTGCATTCTATGTCACAATCAAAATGATCTGATGAACATGAAGACATATAGCTCAAAGTTATTAAATGTGAAACTCGGCGGCAAAAGTCAATTATCGCTAACGTTACTGTGTTCTGTGCCTTTGAAAACATATAGAGATGCACACGTCGCACTGAAGCATCTTTACGAAAGCTCAGCACAGCGGTGCCCACAGATTTTTCTTTCGGCTTGTGAGCTAGCGTTCGGATGACCAAATTAAAGCGATCTACCTACACTACAATAAAAATTGTAAAATATATATTGACATATATACCCAATATACTTCAGGAAATTAATTAAATGCATGTATCTGTATGGCACAATAAGATCTGATTATTATAGTACTGCGTATGGTGAGTACTACACACTTCAGAATTATATTTATATTTAAACTCTTTATATTTTAACGGCTCATGATCTACCAACACCTCCCTGTTGTGATCAACTGGCGGATACAGATCTATTTTCGGGCATCGCTGGCTTATGGGTTATTGATCAAATAAAGAAACTGTGTTCTCCAGTGACGCAGCAGGGAAAGTACCAGATGATGTGTAATCTCCTTTTGAGGCGATGCTTATTTAGAATGTGTTACGAAACACAACAACAATGACAACTGCCAGTTACCATAAGCTGTGTGCCTCACTGCAAGCCTTATAATACAGCAAGGTTTCCAACGACGCCCATGTCCTCTTATCTCAGTTCCATTGCCTGTTTAGTTTCTTGCAATATCGCCCAGATCCATCAGTATACGACAACCGTGGATCACAAATTCAGAAATCACTCTGATAATGAGGAGGACCATGTTTATTTAGGGAGTTATGAGTCAACAGTGATAACGCATATCAAAGTGGCAGTGCGTCAATCCTGGATGGGCAGCACGGAGAAGAGGCAATTTAGGTCACTCAGTTAACCCCGTGGGAAAACGGAAAGTGCTATCAGCACGGTAAAGTTTGCGGTACACGAGATAATCGTTTCTCTTTTATCTTTTGTGATTTGCAATATGTATATTTTTATGTATCAGCACATCATTTGTTATAAAAATACAAAATAAAATCCAATTTATGGATTGTATTTTAAGTTAAGGTCGTCTGGTATCAGTCATTACTGCGGATGATTCAGTTTTCAAAATAAAACAACTTTTAGACTTTCTTCTGTTAGTATCAGAGTCTGAATGACCTGTTGTTTTGAAACATCGTCAGATTATCTTTAAATGAAGCTCGGTACCAAATGACCTACGGACCGGCACTTATCCCCAAATCAGGGGTTGGGGGGGGGGGTTTCCTGGGCAAGAAACAAAAAGGGGAGGGG